CAAGATTCCTTAACAAGTAGAAGTGCCATTTACAAACTTTGTGGGCGTGCATGTAAGAATTATGGTGATATTTAAAGGTGCGATTGCTTGAGAATGTGTGATATGACAAGTGCATTGGTTGGCATGCTGTATGTACATGCTGTATGTACATGCACTGTGGCCTTCGTTGGCATGCTTGGCTTATGTGCTGAGAGTCAAGGGGTGAAAGAGCAAGAGGAGGTGGAAGGAAACCACACGAGGGAGCAGGTGCATCTTGTTTTAGATGGAGCAGAAGGAAAACAAATGGCATTGAGTTTTGGAAATGGAATGGAATCAATTTCATGTGGTGCCAGGAGTCTTTCTCGGGGAGGAATAGAGCCCATTTGAACACAGCTTGTTAAGGCTGTAGAGGTTCCTGTTGCTGAAGAATTCTTAAACATATGTGCAAACAAATGTAAGGAAATTCATAGGCAAAAATCCCTTTTTGAACCTAGAATTAAAGATGGAAAAACATTTATCTTCTGCCAAATTATGCCTACAAAAGCTTTTTGTGTTTTTTTTATAAAAAGCTACAAAAGTGAGCCCGGAAACAGGCAGTTTAGGGTTCTGTCATCTTTCCCTCAATTCCCTCCCAGAAAGTTTCTTCAAACTTATTTTAGAGTATTTGTGTGAAGTTTGGGGGGGAGGGGAAGAGGGGTCACCCAAACAGCACCACTCTGAGAACGAGCAGATACTAAGATCTCTTATTCATCACATAGGTTTATTCAGAGCAGGGTGTTAATATTTTTGTGAGATGAGAGAGAATGCCACCTCAGCATTATCTAAGGGCAGAATTCATGTTTGTGATGTTAACTGAGCACTTGAATACTTTCTTGTATTCAGCCTGGGAGTTCATAACATGGAATTGTAACACAAAATTCCCAAGCTATCAAAAGTGAGGATTTTTTTCAGAATTGTAACATATATTTTTTTAAAGGGGTGTTTGTGATGGGAGTGGGGGTCATTTTCTGTAATAAGTAAAGGTTGAATTTTCATCGCTAAAGCATTCCCACTCCTATTTTGTGGAGGGGAGTAAGGAAGTACAGTTGTCTCTGCTTCTAGATTAGACACCTAGATACGGTGCCCATCACTACATCTTCTCAAATTTTGTTTTTTGTATTACAGCTAAGCACAAACTTAATATATTAATATATTCAAGTTGATGAAGTGTGAAACAGAAGTTGCATTTAACCTAGTTGCTAATTAAATCATGTATTTTGGTATCTCCTCTAAATAAACAACGAGAAGTCTTGTGGCACTTTATAGACTAACAGATTTATTGGAACATAAGCTTTCGTGGGCAAAGACCTACTTCGTCAGATGCATGTAGTGGAAATTCCAGAAGCAGGTATAAATATACAGGCATATGAAAAGAGTACCAATCAAGAGTAAGGCTAGAGATAACGAGGTCAATTCAATCAGGGAGGATGAGGCCCACTTCTAGCACCTGATGTGGAGGTATGAACACCAAGAGAGGAGAAACTGCTTTTGTAGTTGGCCTGCTATTCACAGTCTTTGTTTAAACCTAAAATAATAGTATCAAACTGTGAACAGAACAGTTTAACTTAGTATGCCTTCCCTGCTTTTTGCTAGACCATCTGGAATTCTGCTTGGATCACTTGACCTGTGAACACCACTTTTTTAGGCCTGGTGAAATAACTAAAATAAATGGGTAAAGGAAAGAGCTGCTATTACAGAATATATGTGCATTAAAAATTGACTCAAAATAGTGAATTGTTTACTCTGCCCACCTTGAACCATTCGGTGTTGGTTCAATATCTGTTGGAAATAGAGCTGTTTTATGTTGCTGGTGACTGGTTGGAGTGTTGGTCTCTTGAGAGCTAGTCAGGTTTTATGCCAGTTGCAGTCTCTGAAGTACTTATTGAACTTAATAAATTGCTTTTCAATTACTACTTATTCTGAAATGGCAAACCCCATTCTTTCTGTCTCTTCTTTGCTTGGCTACACTATCTCTTTACCTTGTTTTTGACACCTGGCTTCCTATTGGCATTCATGAATTATTTTTGTCTGCAGCGGTTTTACTGCCTTCCATATGGAACCAAGCCAAAGCTAGTGATAGCTGTTGCAGAGGTATATAGACCGAATGCTGCAAGGCCATTTGAATCTGACTTGGGGTTTTTCCATTATTTACTTACTTTACTGCTTGTGCTCAGAGGGAAATGAACGTGCCATTCTGGCCTAGCAGTTTTACAGAATAATCACAGTTCTTGAGTTAAAAGTAGGGCATAAGCCAGGTGCTTATCTCTGAAGCCCTTCAAAACACAACTCCCCCGCCCTCAGCAGTTTTCAAGTGTCTTGTCCCATTCAGACAGAACACATGGTTTGAAGTCCTTCATATGGTGACTAGACCGTGTGTCTGGCTCGTTGTGGGATTTCTTTTTGCTACTGGTTGCGAACGATAATGCTAATACTTATTTCCTTATACTGTTAGCCTAATGTCAGAATAAAGGGACATCAGTGTGTCTTTGGACTATGGACTACGAGGGCTTTATCTTTGTTTTGCTCAAAAGCAATTTACGGAGAGCTCAGCAGTCCTTGTATCTTTATGAAGCATCTCTGCCCTTGCAGATACCACCTCCTTTCATTCACTTAATGATTATGTTAGTGTTCAAAGATTAACATAATTCCTAGATAAAATGGTTGAAGCTGGGGATGGATCTCTTGGTACTTGCCTGTTCTGGTCACTGCCTCTGGTACAGCTGCCATTGGCCACTGTTGAAAGATGGACTTTTGGTTTGACCCAATGTGCTCTTGTGGCCTGTGATGAATGGTCGTGGGGAGGGGACTTCCCTTTATGGACATCCCCCCCGCTATTCACTTAACTGAATTACCTGTCAGGGTTAAGAGAGCCAGGGAACAAGGCATGGAATATCCAGCAGCGTTTCATCCCTAGAGAAGGACTAAATGTTGGAGCAACAGAGATATGAGTAGAACAGGGAACGTTTAGCTGGACACGATCAGGTTATTTTCTTTGTTTTTGGGTTGTTGGACTTCCCCGTAACTACCTTGTCTTGTGCTGTAACTCGAAACTGAATCCCAGGGAAGCAGTTCTCTGTGTGTTAATCTTTTTTCGGTTTCTCTGTAACACCTAGTCAGCCAAGTATGTTCCAACAAGTACGTTTTCTTTGTTAATAAAAATTTACCTTTTTAAGACCATGATCTGATTCCTGTGTTCTAGAGGGCAGGAGGTTCTCTCTTCGTGTGCCTAAAACTGCAAGATCAACTATTAAGAAAAAATAGTTTGTTCAAGGTCTCTCCAGAGGGTGGGTCAAAAAGCTTGAGGGTACCCCATAGGGAGGAACTCCCAAATGTGCCTTCCTGGGTTCTCAAAAGGGTTTTTGGATTGAGGTGGTGGCCACAGTATCACTCCAATGCCAGGAAATCTGTGTCCTTGGGGAGTTTTTAAACAGAAGCCTTTAATGCAGGGGTGGGGAACCTAAGCCCTGGGGGCTGGATGTTGCCCCCAGCTTGCCTGAATCTGGCCCCTGTGGTTCAGGGCTCCCTCCCCCTACATCGGAGAGCCTGTGTCAATGCTCCAAGCCCCATGCTGTCCCCCAGTGGGGCTGGAGCACACAGAATCTACTAGCCTGGGCCCTTCCCAGGCTCTGGTGTACAAGGGGAATGGGGGAGTGTCCTTCTCAGTCAAGGGCCATGTCAGTGAGTAGGGTTGCCAGATGGTCTCCCAAAAAACACCGGACACCTGGCAACCCTATCAGTGAGGGTTTGTTTGGTCTTTGCTTTTCACTTGTGTGGTTTTTTTTTGTTTTTGTGTTGTTTTTTTGTGTGGGTCAGCAGCCCCCAACCCAAGAGGTTCCCCATCCCTGCTTTAATGGGAAGGTATTTAAAAGTCTCTTGCAGGGCCCCTGCCTTTTGCACTTGAAATGCCAGAGTGGGGAACAGCCTTGATATGGCCTAAAACCAGAAGCATGCAGAACTCCTGGCCTCTGCCCACCATCCACTAATGTGCTAATCCTTATTACTTCATTGTGGCTGTTCTCTTCCTAGCTCAGTGGAATTTTAATTATTTATGAGTAAATAAATTGTACCGGGAAATATTAGGTTTTTGCAAAATAAATCAAACTGTCGACCACAGATTTATTTTTCTTTGGAGCAGCCTGCTATCCTTATTGCTGCGTGTGGCTTTTCCTTCTCTTCTCCCCACCCAGAACACATGGCAACCATCCCAGTCATCTACCTGCATTATGGTTAGAGCCCTAACAAATTCATGCTCCATTTTGGTCAATTTCACGGTCACGAAACTAATGGCTTTTTAAAATAAGTTTTCTGATTCCAGATATTTAAATCTGAAATTTCAGTGTTGTAACTTTAACAGTCCTGACCCAAAGGAGGGCAAGGTAATTGTAGGGAGTTGCGGTATTGCTGCCTTGACTTCTGTGCTGCTGCTGGTGGGATGCTGCGTTCGAAGCTGGGCTCCTGGCCAGCGGCCGCCACTCTCTGGTCACCCAGCTCGGAAGGCAGCACAAAAGTAAGGGTGGCATTACGGAAGTCTCCCCACAATAACCTTGTGACCCCCCTCTTTCTCATGTGGACAAACCCAAGCCCCCCCCCCTCCCCCCCCCCCCCCGAAATCTTATATATAATAGAGTAGAACACACAAACCCAAATTTTACAGGGGAGGCCAGATTTCATGGTGTGATACTTTTTCATGGCTGTGAATTTGGTAGGGCCCTGATTATAGTGTTGGAAAAAGCAAGAGGCTCCATTTGATGAACAGTCTGGTAGTAATGCAGTGCAGTCTGTAGATATCACTAATCCTGCATATACAGTATTCAGATGCCACACAGAGCTTTTAATATTCCACTGTTTTATTTCTCTTTAATATACAGCAGGTCAAACTTTGGAGCCCAAGTTGATCACGTCGTCCTTTGTTAAAAATACTCCCCTAATTACTGCATCCCTTTCTCTTATCAAGAACTGAACAGTTGATCTTAAATTTCCAGATGCTCACAGCCTCGATTCCAACCGATATTCTATACTTGCAGCAGATCTTCGAGACACAGCAGAGCTAGAGAAAAAACTGAAGACATTTAACATGGACACACAGTAAGATAATCTGTTTCAAAGGTTTGTGGTAATGTAGTGGTGAGAATCAAATCTGTTTTGGGAGTACAGGAACTGCCTCCAGTTTTTATTATGCCATTTCCATGGTAACCTTGTTCTGAATCCTTTGAGCAGAAGGAATTCGGGCAGATACTGTCTAGCTTCACTGAGCAGGCTGCTGTTGCAGTCACTGCCTGCATAGTTCCAAATCCTAAGACGGGTAATTCCTCATCTGTAAGAGTCACACTTTTCCTACATGAGAGCATCAATCCTCTTAAAAGAAAATCCACTACCCTCTTTATGCCTGCTCTGTAAGTATGTGTGTAGTGTGTTTATAATACCCGGGATTATAAATAGCACTTGATTAAAGTAAGAATATTGACACCTTGTCCAAATGTTGCCATTCTGAATTGGCGTTTTTTAGCAGCTGGGTCACGGCATTTCAACTTACGTTTTGTGAAAGATGAGTGTCTAGATCAGGGGTTCCCAACCTTTTTCGGTCCCCGTACCCCCTTGGCTTTTAGTAAACCTTCCCGTATCCCCTATTCAATATGAAAGGAAATACATTCTAGCGTCTAGGATCCACAACTTTTTTCACTAATACGACTACTTTTGGAATATTTCAATTAGGATAATTTAGTTATTTACCAAATATTCCCCAGACCCCCTTGACAAGCTTCTCATACCCCCTGGAGGTACGCGTACCCCAGGTTGGGAACCCCTGGACTAGATCATTGTATCTAATGAGAGTGTTTGTCTGTTCAAGATCTCCTAAACAGTAAGAGCTAGGACCACCAAATTTGGTAGGCAGCTTCCTCTTATAAAAACTTAAAGCAAGGTCAGGGCTTGATTGTGCCTGGAAAGGGATTGCGCTCATAAAACCATAGAAAAAGGACAATCACTAAGCAGGTGAAAGGGCCTGCCCCCTGCTTTCCCCCCAATTCATATGAGAACTTTGCTGGCTGTTCCCCTACATAAGGGAGCCAGAAGAAAGTGCACATTTTTCTGTATTTCTCATGCTGGATGGGGAGGCACAGAGGCATCAAACCTGGACCTGCCCCAGCTGAGGGAGATGCATCTCTCCCCTGGCTCTGTCTGCTGGACCTGTGGAGAGGCACTTCTCACCTGGTCCCAACCTACTGTGGTGAGAGGGGGCTGGGGTAGTTCCTTCTTCCTGGGGCAGCCTGCATCCCGAACCCCTCATCCCCAGCCTCACCCCAGAGCAATGATTCCAATGAAGCATGGACATTTTCATTTTATTTTTTTTTAAAACCAAAACTTGAGTTAAGGATCCGAGCAACGCCGGGTAAAATCAGTGCTAAGGGGGGTGATCCTAGGAGCCAACTGCTTTGTAGAATAAAAACTCTAACATCCCCACAACTACGCTTCCAGGGTTTTACTCTTGTGGCTTGTTTGCTGTGCCTCTTTTTGGAAACAGATTGACCTCACAGACTTTATTTTTTCCTGAGGTGGGTAATGGCAGAATCTGTCAAGAACTCTTGTTCTGGATATAGAATTTGGATTTTGTTGCTCATAAACTGTGCACTTAGATTTCCATACGTGAGCCCAGAGAGTTTTGATGGATGCCGTTTCCAAAGTGGTAAATGTTCTTCTCAAATCTGAGAGCGAAACGTGGCATAGCTAGCAGGGAAAAGCGTATGCGGTAGTCAGGGTGTATTCAGCTGTCATTTAAATTTTTGTGCTTTCATCTTAAAAGCACTGTCCCTGCCTATCCTTATGGAATTCATTTTATTTCTAGTGATAATTAGATCTACATCAAACTTCTTGCTTGTAGGTATAATTACTCATGTGAATAGATATTTGCATTTTTCAGGGTGGATGGGGGGGGGGGGGGGGGCAAGAGAAGCAATAGCTACATCATAGCTAGCAAAAAGTTGTCTGGTTCTAGCAAGGCCGTTCTGCTGGTTCTTGTCTCTACGTGGCTGTCCTTAAAATGTTCCCCTCTTAACTAGTAAGTGGAGAGAGATGCGTTCAGTGTGTGAAAGGAGTAGAGCCAGAAGCATATGCTCCTCAGAAACAGAAAAGTTTCCAACTCCTGTACAAGTAACCTTGCATTGCTAGAATCATCTGGAGAGGATGGAGACCCACTACTGGTCTTTGTGTGGTAAAATGTTTCCATTTTCTCCGCCAATGCTTGGTTCAGTGACATAGCACTTGTCTGTTACTGGCCATTCTTGATTAGTGCACAGTAGAAACAGTTTAATGGTTTCTTTTTCCTTTAAAATCAATTTTTTTTTAAAGATTGCCTACGCTCCTGATCGCAGAGTGTGTGCTGGTTTATATGACCCCTCCGCAGTCTGCAAGTCTTCTGAAGTGGGCAGCAAACACTTTCCAGGCTGCGATGTTTATTAACTATGAGCAGGTAAAAGGAAAACGTAGCTTTTCACTGGTGCATTATTTGCGTAGCACTCACTGACAGCTGGGAGAATGTTGCCTGTGCGATGACAACAGATCACAACTTTGTAAACTTTCCAACGAGAACTCTGCAAGTTCCAGATTTACCTGCTTTCTGGATTAGAATCCTAGAAACGTAGGTAGGGCTGGAAGGGATCTCGTGGTCTGTCTCCTCCATCCCCCTGCATGAAGCATGAATATGTGTACTAAACCATTCCTGACAGGCGTTGGTCTAGCTTGATCTTCAATACATCTCATCAGGGCTGTTGGTGGGCGGGGAAGTAGGGGAAGAGGCAGGACAACCCCCAGGAGAACCCACCTTACCTTCCCCGTGTCCCTTATCCCACCTTCCACTTGCGGGATCCCGCTCCATCCTGGGGGCAGCCTGGATGTTGGCTGCCCCCCCACTTCCGGGGGGAGAGGGGGGGGGGGGGGCTTGAGGGCA